TGTAACTTTCCACTAGCTTTGAGACTTATTTTCAGAGCACGTGTTAAGGTGTGCCCACGGGAAGTTGCGTCACTTAGTGCTGAGTTAAGCATTAAGTAACTGGCTCTCTGACTACCTATGACGGGCAGTAGTTTGATATCACTCACTAGAGGAAGACGTTATTGAGAACCATTGTTGCTGGTTCCGTCTTCCCTCGAGGGAGGTTTCAGATATATTCCGTTCTCCCTCGATAAGTCTCTACTCAAGTCTTCACTCACGAGAAACAGACGTAAACAAGCTTCACAGACAAGCTTGCCGTCTACGTTTCTAACACTCATAGTTACATTGAGTAAATTACTTAGGTGAAATAAACTGGGATGCCTATTGTCCACTACACTGCAGAGGGAAACTAATAGTAGTTAATGTTGGTAAAGTCAGTCGACATCATGAAAGAGAAGTGAGAGTGACGCCACCCAGACATGTGTGTGAACAAGTCTCGTGAGGTCGTGTTGTTGATGCTCACAAGGACGTGTGGTAAGTAGCCCTGGCTAGCCTGTAGCCTCGCCGTTACCCTGGACACTAGACGAGCTAGACCCATGCCCCTGTAGTCCTCTTCGGTCCTCAGCATGCCCAGGGCACCATACGTGGATGAGGCAATCCAGGACACGGGGACGACCTCATTTCTAGCAGCTAATATGTCGCCCAGCTCCACCGACGTGTCCTCCACAACGGTTTGGTCCAAATACACGCCTACAGACGGCACTTTTTGGATAAATCTCCACATGGTCTGCAGAGGCGAGTCCTTAGCGTACTGGCTGGTCTCCAAGAGGTGCTGCAAACCGGCTTTACCCAGCAGACGGACACAGAACCCCGCCCTACACCTGGAGGAGGGGAGAGACGGGTTACTCAGAGCGGTAAGCCCCAGGACCATCCTCTGCTCCTATATCAAGTTGCTACACCATTAATTGTGAGTGATGTGTTTTCTCTTCTTCCTTCCTTTATCAAATTTTCTTCCCATCATATGACAGACAGCCAGTTCACATTTATCTAAGTCAATCGTCTTAATAATATCTCGTCAGTGTGGCTAGCAACTGTTTACCTGGTAATTAACTATTTATCCTACCAGTTACCATTTACCCATTTGTGTCCAGGTGAAGGTGCGTCACCTACCTGAGGGGTAGAGTGTCCAGGTGAGGGTGCGTCACCTACCTGAGGGGTAGAGTGTCCAGGTGAGGGTGCGTCACCTACCTGAGGGGCTGAGTGTCCAGGTGAGGGTGTGTCACCTACCTGAGGGGCTGAGTGTCCAGGTGAGGGTGTGTCACCTACCTAAGGGGCTGAGTGTCCAGGTGAGGTGTGTCACCTACCTGGGGGTAGAGTGTCCAGGTGGTGTGTCACCTACCTGAGGGTAGAGTGTCCAGGTGAGGGTGCATCACCTACCTGAGGCTGAGTGTCAGGTGAGGGTGTGTGTCACCTACCTGAGGGCTGAGTGTCAGGTGGGGTGGTAGGTGAGGGTGTGATCCTGGACTGTCGAGGCTGAGTCTAGGTGATGGGTGACCTCCTTGACCGGGCCCAGCAGGTAGTGAGGGATACACCCCTATGCAGGTTTATGCCAGTCACCAGGGGCGTCTCTTTCAGCGCCTTCTGCAGCTGGCACACCTCGCGTTCCCGGCAAAAGACGGTGAACTGAGAAGCCACGTCCTGGTGTGGGCGGGAGGGGGGGGGGTGCGTATAAACAAATAGACAGATGGTGGCCTTAGGTTAATTAGGTTAAGTTAGGTTAGGTCAGCATTACGATAATTAATCTTCAGGTGCAATAAGCTGGGGAATTAATCATCAGGTACAGTGAGCTGGGGGATTAATCATCAGGTACAATAAACTGGGGGATTAATCATCAGGTACAATAAGCTGGGGGATTAATCATCAGGTACAATAAGTTGGGGGATTAATCATCAGGTACATCAATAGTAGGCAAATTACTGGAAGCAATCATTTCAAACTATTCGAAATCACCTGGAGAAGCACCGATTGATCAATGATTCCCAGCATGGCTTCACAAGCGGACGTTCTTGCCTAACTAATCTATTAACATTCTTTTCATCAGTTTTCGAATCGGTGGACGAGGGGCACAATTATGATGTGGTATATCTCGACTTTAGCAAAGCCTTCGACAGAGTCCCCCATGAAAGACTAATTAGAAAGGTAGAAGCACATGGCATCAAAGGTAATATCCTTAAATGGATTAGGGTGTGGTTACAGGACAGGAAACAGCTAGTGAGCATTAACGGCACTAAGTCCCATTGGAGCAACGTCACAAGTGGAGTTCCCCAAGGCTCAGTACTTGGACCATTATTATTTATTATATACATAAACGACATAGATATCGGCATTGACAGCAACGTAAGTAAATTTCCTGATGACACTAAAATAGGACGTGTTATCAAATCTGACGAGGACTCGGCAAAACTACAGGAAGATCTAAACAAATTTTTCGAATGGTCTGAAAAATGGCAGATGAAATTCAACGTCGACAAATGTAAAGTACTCAGTATAGGAGATGCAAACAGGGAAACCAGATACCAGATGAACGACGATGCCATAGAGAAATCCGACTGCGAGAGAGATTTAGGAGTAATGATAAGTAGGAACCTTAAGCCAAGTAAACAATGTGTTTTTGCTCGTAACAAGGCTAATAAAGTACTTGGGTTCATACAAAGGAGTGTTAGTTACAAGACTAGCGAGGTCATCCTAAAACTGTACCTTGCTCTTGTGAGACCACACCTGGATTACGCAGTTCAGTTCTGGTCACCGTATTACAGAATGGATATAGAATCCTTGGAAAGAATTCAGAGGAGAATGACAAGACTAATCCCGGGCATTAGGAACCTTGAGTATAGAGACAGGTTAAAGCATCTTAATTTGCACTCCCTTGAGAGACGTAGAGCGAGGGACGACCTGATAGAGGTGTATAAGTGGAAGGCAGGGCTAAACAAAGGGGACATTACAAAGGTACTCAAACTATCCAACCAGTAGCGAACTCGTAACAATGGTTTTAAATTAGACAAATTTAGATTTAGGCGTGAAATAGGTAAACATTGGTTTGGAAACAGAGTAGTGGATGATTGGAACAAGTTACCAAATATCATCATTAACTCGAATACGCTGGATAGCTTCAAACATAGGTTCGATGCTCATATGAGCAATAGGGGTTGGGTGTAAACGGGACTGCCCAGTATGGGCCAATAGGCCCGCTGCAGTTTCCTCCATTCTTATGTTCTTATGTTCTTACAATAAGCTGGGGGATTAATCATCAGGTGATGTTTCCCCGTACGTGGAGCCGTCAGGACACACCTAGCGGGCATCTCCTCAACTACAGCACAAACAATGAAGTCAAAAGCTGTAGAAATTATACCTGTAGAGTCTGTTACAGTGTCTGGATATATCACCTTGGTGTTTATAAATCCAGCTCGTGTAATATGCAGACCCGGGGGGTGGGGGGGACATTTATCGCCTGGCTTATGGTGAGAGTTACTGTATAAGGACATCTTTCACTCACGTTGTTCCGCCACATGACGACGTGAGAATCTGGTGAATCATCCAACACGTAGAAAGTTCCCGTGGAGCACAACCGTCGAGCGTGAAACAGCAGGTTGTTGTGCATCTGTCCGGGAGGAGAAGAGGAGTTAACGCCAGCAGCTACAGTACAGGAACGAATGGCCGTGTTGTCACTTGACTAATTAATTCACATTTCTCTGTCATCTCTTTTGAAATCCATAGTTTATATCTGACAAACTGTCCATTTCTTCAGTACTCACCGTGCAGGAGGGTCAGCAGTACAGTACTCACCGTGCAGGAGGGTCAGCAGTACAGTACTCACCGTGCAGCAGGAGGGTCAGCAGTACAGTACTCACCGTGCAGCAGTAGGGTCAGCAGTACAGTACTCACCGTGCAGCAGGAGGGTCAGCAGTACAGTACTCACCGTGCAGCAGGAGGGTCAGCAGTACAGTACTCACCGTGCAGGAGGGTCAGCAGTACAGTACTCACCGTGCAGCAGGAGGGTCAGCAGTACAGTACTCACCGTGCAGCAGGAGGGTCAGCAGTACAGCACTCACCGTGCAGGAGTATGGGAAGTCTTGCTTGAGAGTCTCAGCCAACCTGAACAGTTGCCCCTCGTCCGTCACTCTCCTGAAGACCATCACTGACCAGCTCTCACTCCCACCACAGTGTTACAAAGGTTCAAGCTTCCTGATCACGTTACAGACGGATGCTGCAGGAGAAAGTGTCAAGCTGAAGTTGGTCTTTTGTAGTGTACAGCTTAATGTAACACGTTTCAAATTATTATTGGATGTGTTTACTGTGATGATGGTAGTGTGATTTATTTATTTTTTTTATTTATTTTTTTTATAGGGATTAGCCCACCCGGGCACAGGTCACTGATCCACATCGGGGCCTGGGGCGGGAAAATGAAATAATAATAATAATAATAATAATAATAATAATAATAATAATAATAATAATAATAATAATAATAATTATCGCCGCTGGCTTATAAATGCTGGTGTCAGTTGTTGACGATCGCTGCCTTCCTCGAACAAACATTGGATCTCTCAGCGCCCCCCCCCCCCCCACGCGGCCTGTTGCCTCGTGAGACGTGGCGGCTGGGGGATGGGGGGGCGGTGTTTACGGATAAAGAGTTCCTGATTCTGCTGAATGTAAAGGGTGACGTGGCTCTCATGTCACATATCGCCCTCTCGAGTGATGCCCCCCCCACGCAACCTGTGACCTCGCCAGATGCGGCGGCGGGGGGGGGGCGGTGTTTACCGCCGGCGTCAGTGCTGGCACCCTGGGAGTGTTATCACCGCTTGCGTCAGTACTGGCAAGTGAGTATTTAATGGTTTAAAAGGGTGGCGTGGCCGCCTGGACTGGAGGAGATCGCTCACTCGAGTGATGCTGTGAGGACCAGCCCTCGAGTGATGCTGTAAGGAGCTGCCTTCTGCTCGCACTGATAAACACCACACAATCCTGTCCAAGAATTTGTGCTGAGACAATTTACACAGTACTGTTGTCTCTTGGAACACCATACTGGTCTGCATTTACCTGCACTTGTTTTGACCACATCAATAAATACTGAATGCGTCAACAGGCGGTTTTTTTTTAATTGGGCACCCTACATCCTTGTGTAAGGTGAAGCGCAGAAGCGTTTACAGCGCCCAACAGGGAAGCATGTTAAGTTCATGCTTGCCTTTATGTCTCATGAGTTAAGGGCGTGTTTCAATCATTCCCTTTGACTTGCCCGTCACTTGAACGTCCTTATTCCCAAGGCGTTTATAATAATAATAATAATAATAATAATAATAATAATAATAATAATCATAAAGAACTAGAAAGAAACACAAAAGTGAAAAAAAAGATCTATAACAGCTGACCAATATGGGTCGCGTCGTTGCTCATCTTCCAGTTGCGAAAGAGTGAATGTTGTTACACAATGATACAGGCATGACTGGTGCTATATTTCTTGACAGCGTTGGCGACAACATTCGCCCTCCCAGGTAAATACCTAAATTCCGGGTCAAATTCTTGAATTGTCAGATATCAGCGTGCTAATCTGCCTGATAAGTTTCTGCCATGGAACAGTTCGGTGACTGCCGCATGATCAGTCAAAACAGTTATCTTGTAGCCAAAGATAATGTCTTTGAACTTCTTAAGTGCCCGCACAACGGCTAACGTTTCTAAATGCGTCACCGAATAACGTGTTTCAGCATCGATTAGTTTGCGACTTGCAAATGCTATCACTCTAAACTTCCCACGCGTGTCCTCTTGCATGAGCACTGCTCCGACTCCAATTCCGGGAGCGTCAGTACAGAGAGTGAAAGGTTGAGTGTAGTCTGGGAATGCTAGAACCGGGGCATTGGTAAGCGCTGTCTTCAATGCCGTAAAACTATCTTCGTGTTCAGCGTCCCATATAAACATTGCATCTTTTTTGCGCAACCTCGTTAGGGGCGATGCTAATGTTGCATAGTTCTTGATAAAGGAACGATAATATCCAGATAAGCCGAGAAAGCTACGCACATGATCATTTGAGGTAGGACGCGGGAACTGAGATACAGCTTTGACTTTATCATTAACTGTGTGTATGCCCTCACCGTCGACTACATGACCAAGGAAATGGATTCTGGATTTTAAAAACTCGCACTTTGAGAGTTTTATTTTGAGTCCTGCTGTGGAAAGTTTGTCCAACACTTCACGCAGTTTAATCAGATGGGAATCGACGTCCTTACTGACTACTATTAGATCATCCAAATAAACGCAGACTGTGTTACCAATTAGTCCGGCAAACAGGGTGTTGATCATTCTTTGAAATGTTAGTGGGGCATTTCTGAGACCAAATAGCATTCGTAGAAACTCAAAGTGGCCTAGAGGCGTGCTAAATGCCGTTATTTCTCGTGATTTCTCATCGAGTGGCATTTGCCAATACCCACTAAGCAAATCTAAGTTGCTAAATACCGCATTATCCTTGCCTAAGGATTGCAATATGTCGCTCAAGATAGGCATAGGGTACCTATCAGGGATCGTTTGATCATTGACGCGCCTGAAATCTATAACAGGGCGCCATCCACCATCCTTTTTCGGGACGAGGAATAATGGGCTATTAAAGGGGGATTTTGAGTGTCTAATGACATTCTCATCTAACATACCCTGTACCATATCTTGCACTACAGCGCGCTGGCTATGAGGTAGTCTATAAGCTGGTACGTAAATAGGGTTGGTTACCTCCTTTAACGCTATATGATGGGATGTTAAATCTGTCTGACCTAGCGTTTCCCCTGGCAAGGCTACTATATTTCTATAGTCGGCGAGCAGCTCTAAAAGGCGTGTCTTGCCCTGTGGATGATCGATCACCTTAACATGTGGCGCTATTTGATCTATCCTGGCCAGTCGAGTCTGTTGGCATTTCGCAACAATACCTCGAATTGGGAATTTAGTAGGCTGCACTTCGACATTGTTGTGATATACTAGAAAATCACACAAATAACATCCTTTCTTTAAGATTCGCTGAACGCCTGTTCGATTTAGAATCAGTACGTCGGTCAAACCACCAGGGCGTATAGTGCTCAGGGTAGATTCACATGACAGCCCTTTTACCTTGCATGTTTCCGGGGGGGGACACAACATCTGTGCCCGTGCACACGTTGGGTAGTTCGACAGTTGCTTTGGTGATTTCCTCATTTTGGTAATGGAGAGTACTCTTCAACATTGCTGGTACGATCGTCCAACTCTTGCTGCTGTAATCACGCTGGGAAAGTGTGTGGTTGAGGTCAAGAGGTATCTCTGACGCACGATCCGCCTTCCTCTTAATAGGATTGGTAGACAACAATTTGAGTCCTAGCTGTGAGCATAGGTTCAGAATGACTCATTGCTGTGTAGGAAACACCTTTAAGCGTAACACTATTATTACGTGGAAGAACATCTATCATGTTCTTTCAAAGAGTTGGTAGACCAAGTAACCCGTAAGCTGGCAAGCCAATCTGGTATTATCCACTCTCACCGGCACTGACAACACTTCCACTTTTCTAAGCGCCGCTATTAATGAGGCCGCTATAGAAGTGCTGTGAGGAGGGGTGGGAATTACCCTATCTATCCCTCTCCTTGTTGTGGTGTGCGCTGGTCTTCCCCCAACGACTTGTCTTGGGGACGTTTCTGCTTGCGCCTATACGACACCTCCGTTTCACTAGGGTCCACTCCCCTAGCCTTTATTAGCACATCGCACTCATGTGAACTATGAGATGTCGATTTGTGAAGGGCGCACCATTTGCGCGCTTTCTGGTTAAGAGGAGGTGCTGGTTTGGCTGCCTCACTGTATGACCTTGAGAATGGCTTTGCACCGGGTGTGGCCTTAAAATTTGCACTATTACCTCAGAGCTGAAAACAATCTTCCATTACGTGGCCACGTTTATTACAATGTGAACATCGTAAGGATGTTTTTTGTTTATATGTCAGGCGGGGAGGAGCAATCGGAGCTAGGTGTGTCGCATAAGGAGTCTGGGAGTGAGGCATGTGCGCCAACTGAGACACATGCGCGACCCAATCATCATCTTGACCCGTGAAATTTCGAACATAGTCGCCACGCTGCATGATATTAATAATATTATCAGCTGTAGGTGTGGTAGTAGTACTGGCGTGAGGGTTCGAAGAAACCATTGTAGTGTTAGTATTAAGCAAGTTAGTATTCTTACTCCTAACAGAAGGCTGGGTTAATAAGGTTGTTACCGATTTAGCAACAGACACACTATCACCTGTAACAGGGGTAACTGTTTTTGTATACTTAGGTGAGGTACTATAGTGATTAACAGATCGTAGGGTACGACGGCTTAAGTCGTCATATGATTCCTCAATAACTTTCTCACTACTTCCTACCGAATCATTTAACTGTGATCCCGACTCAAAATCAATGTCAGTCTGGGCTTGATCATCGACGAGTTGGTTATAAGCAAACAGATGCGCTAGGCGTTCAATGTCATCAACATTAGACATGGGAAACTTAGAAAATTATCTATTAGTCCCTCGTGGGTCAATGAATACTTAACAGTAAAATCAGATCACTTGCCTCTCATTTACAAGATAAATGAATATGAATTGTAGTTAATTATTAAACTATCAATAAGAAGACAGACACTTATAAACCACTGTAAATTATAGGATTTCAATACATTAATCTTGCATTCGACACTTTATCATTGAAATAATCCTATCCGACGAACCTATCGGTGTGAAGATATCTCTCGAACGTGTTCATGTGTGTAGAATTATGTAATTTAAATACCTTTTTATATAGGGTGTTACGTCTGTATAGAAAACGTGATCCTTCAAGCCGAGTTCTGAGTCCAGTTCTGAGTCGAGTCGTGTGTGGAGGGTGGGCTGTGTGGAGGGTGGGCGGTGCCTCTTCTTGGTGATGCGCGCGCTGCTCCTGGTTTCCTTGGCAATGATGAGACGCTTCTGCCTTGGCGAGAGACGAGTCCACTTCAAACTAGGGTAGTTTCTCCAACGTCGATCAGAAACTGCTGATGATTGGTTATCACTCTGTTCGTTGCTAGGTCGCTAGCGAGACTGCCGTGTGCCACGTCTTCACAGTCTACGTATATATAGAGATCTTGTATGATGACACCGGAACTTCGTAATTAACGCTGACGACACAACAAAACTGTTCAGCTGCTAGTGAAATATCAATTGTTAGTCCAGGTTATGAAACCTTTCTTCAACACTGCAACACTGTAATTAGAAAATGCTGAGTGGGGTCTACTTCAACCGGCTCTATCTGGATATTTACCAACAGGCTGTAATATATGTATATTACGAATTCTTCACGTTTTTGTATGTGACAGAGATAAGGAGCACTCACTAAATATCGTCTCAATACGGGATATAATTTTAAACACTCGGATTATGTAACGCGTCACTGCTGTGTGTTTTAAGTTTTTCTCAAAACACAGACGATTGATACGACTACTACCAGCTTCAGAATCCGTACACACCGCTTGCCATCTATATGAATCGGCTGCTTGTGCAATTAATCAGGCCGCTCACATATATTTATTATTTGGGTTTAAGTAACGAAACCCAAACGGTAGTTCCTTGTTTTATTATAAAAGGATTGTATATATAATTACTGAGTGTAGATCGACCGTAAGCCCCACTGTATAGGAGTGAATGAGAAAGGGACAGCGTTTATGTTTTATAAACGTTAGGTCACGTCCTTAAGATATAAGTTGTTGTGAGCGACTGAAGAGTGAGGGCCTCGCTGTGCGGGCTTACAGATATGCTGACTACGGGTCACTCCCTCTTGGGTGAGTTGCCCGCTCACGTGTACAACTCATGTCATACTCATAGACAATGGAAAGTTACAGGGTGGTGAATCTGAATATATAATCAGATGTATTGACCCATTTATATAATATGTTCTGTTGATGAGACAGGGGCCCATTACACTCAGGAATTATATAAACATAATACTTTTCTAATAAAACAAGAAACTTCAATTGGGTTTCGTTACTAAAGCCTAATATAATATATGTGAACCAACCTGGTTAATTGGGAATTAACCAACCGGCTCATATATGCGTGGCTCTATGTCCAGGGAGGGTTGGTATGTGTAGTACTATGTCCGGGAGGGTTGGTATGTGTAGTACTATGTCCAGGGAGGGTTGGTATGCGTGTCTCTGTGGCATACTGATCCTACTTCATTTGATAACCGAACATTATATTAATTACGCAGAAATAAATACACATTGCATTACTAGTGTTAAACTATAATACCAAAGTAAACACACGTCCCAATATGTATCATCACTGGTGCCCTACTGTTTCATACAGTGTTTGGTCAGATACTTTTTTTTTTACTTACTGTACTGTACATTTTCGGACAAAATCCCCTAACTCCTGGCAATATCTGGCATCAACTTGTGGGTAATAGACGGAATATGATTGGTATATATATCTCATAACTTTACTTTACTCCTTAATAAAAGAACTCTGAGAAAATACCTTAAAACCCCATCCCCTTTCACCTAATGCTCCTTAGGTACTTACTGTACATACCGGATACTGCCAAGTGTTCAGGGAATCTTGTCCGCCACTGTACAATTGGTAAGTCTGATGCTTTCTTTTGGTACAGATGGAGTAACACGTGATCAATACTGTATTTGATTTGTTTGACAACCACAACTGTAAATTCAGGTGTCTTCTACATCTGGGTCAAATAGGGATACCACGGGCACAAACCAGGGAACCTTAGGATACTTGAACGAATGATTTATCCATTTGACCACCGCACTTCTCATATTACTTGTATAAATGAATTAGTGCAAATATTGTACAGGGAACGAAGGGGTACAGAACGCTAGAAAAACACACACACACACACACACACACACACACACACACACACACACACACACACACACACACACACACACACAGAAGAAGAAGAAGAAATTACAATAATGATCAACATTCTATACGAGGCGAATTACTCCTAAATATAAATAATAATAACGAGAAAGAGAGAGAGAGAGAGATTATCGACACCCCCGTCACATATCAGCACAAAGGACGTCTTCTGGATGGCGGGGGATAGGGAGGTTCACTTTAGACGCAGCGAATTTGTGACAGTCTAAATAGTGTCAACATAGCTGCATCATTCTCAACAGTGTCGATTGAAACCTGTGTCGACTCTGTCTGTGTGTGTGTGTACCCTGAAGTCTGTATTCTTAGTGGATACATTTTTACAAGTTGACCATAATGTCCCACAATATTTTTGGGTCCAGTTCTAGATATAACTCATCATTCTGAATACCTTTCATTCTATACATTTCTGTCGCAAATGAATAGTATTGAATGTAATAGAACCTGACCTAATTAACCAAAGAAACCTACCTGACCTTATGTCATGGGTTGCGTTAGGCTTACCCACACAAGTGCGCAGCCAATTCCAAAGTTATGTTTACTAGATATAAGGCACCGGCGAGCCATAACTGCTACACATATTTTCCATTAGTGGTATGTTAGCCAGCCTATAGGGGGAGGCCAGTGAGACAGTGTTGTACTGTTCATCGCCTCACGCCCCAAAACCTCATTTTAAGTAGTATCCCCTTGGCCATGGGTTAGCCAAGACATCCAGCTTCTCCCTCCAGAAGGGAGCGGGACACCACACAGAGTCCTCCAAAGCCACTCCGTCCTGTGATCGTCAGTGACACGTGACTAAGTGTGTTAACCTAGGTTTGTTATCCCCGTGATATTTCTGGAAGCCTGGTTGCGACAAAAGCAATCCAGGCTGGTCTATTGAACCTAAGTTGTTAATTTAAGTCACGCTTACTAGTTCTCCTTGCCGCGACAACCGTCTACAGTGACTGTCAGTGACGCGAGACTATGTGTGGTAACCCAAGAGTACCTTTTTGTTGTTATTGCCCGTGGAAAGAAGTTCTTGTGCGAAAGCCTGGTTGCAACAAAAGCAATCCAGTCTGGCAGTAAATGTATCACTTGAAGAATTAAGGTTCTGTTAAGTCATACCCATAGTAGAGTAATCACATGTGTCCCCAAGTTGAAAATTCCCGCTTTTAGAGGATTAATTTTATTACAGCGTGAATGTGAGTGATTCATATATCCATGTAAATTGTAAGTCATTGTATGGAAACTTGACAAATAAATGTAAGTGCAATTATCTGCCCGTATCTGTGATCCTCTCTTATTATTACTAAAGGTAATGACTGATTGGTTATGACAAAGTGTAACCAGTAACTTAGATGGTGTTGGAAATTAATGGAACTCATTAAATCATCATTTATCAAGTATAAATCATGGAATGTCGAGTGGTGGAGTGAACTTCTACGTAGATACGCCATAATCTCCTGTAGGTACGGTAAGAAATATAAGAAACACAACATATTATAGTCTTAATATAATATAATCCACTCTTACACCACTACCATCCCCGAACCATGACACGTTACCTAACTTCCTAGCCAACCCCTCCAGGACCCCTGCCATATTAAACAGAAAGTACATATTTTGTTATCTGACACCAATGAAAGCAACTTTATTCAAGCGTCATGGACTCATGGTATAATATAATTTTTTTGTGTGGACGTGAGAGCACAATACACTGGGAGGTGGGCCGATGTACACAACCAGACGACACACGGTGACTCAGCAGATTATTTTTTTACAGGGATAGCCCACCCGGGCACAGGTCACACCCACTGAAGCCTAATAAGTCACCTGGTCACCTGAGAGTATCAGAAATAGGAAAAATCATCTGAGCATGCTTGAAAACATGCATATCGACACTAAGATCATTTAGATTGACCAACTACATCAATTTCTATAAAAAAAATAATCTTTCGAAGGTGAACTTGGCAGCCAGCTTGAAAAATGGCAGCCATCTTGGATTTCCAAATGTCAAATCAGGCAGATTTGACAAGTAGCCCCTAGGGTATGATCAGGCCAAATGTAATGCTTGTATATACATTACTACTTGTTTAAGCTATGATAAAATACTGAAAGATATCGAGTTACGTTCACTAAACCACGGCCCTGAGTCACCTTCACTAAACCACAGCCCTGAGTCACCTTTACTAGCCACTACACTAGCGGTTTTGGTAATTTTATTCTTGAATTTATGTAAAAAAAATGAAAAATACAAATAAAAACTAAACATTGACCAGAAGGACACCGTAGCCTCCTAGCCTTCACCAGGTCCCTTGCGGTCTCTTCATTCCTTCCCTGGCCATGGGTGCCATCATCGGGCGGCTGGTGGGCATCGGCTTGGAGCAGCTAGCATAGTGGGTACCCAGTCCTTGGAAGTACTGTACTGTACTGGTGTCCATAAATTATCAGAGCCATTTTAAAACTTAAACCCTAAACCAACATCTTTTTCTTTTCAGTCACAATCAAGACTGGGCGGTGTTTGCTGGGGAGTGCAGCACAGGGGAGAACTGCATTACCCCTGGGCTGTATGCCATGGTTGGGGCGGCAGCTGTACTTGGTGGGGTCACGCGCATGACTGGTTAATAACCCTTTGTATTTTATGTATGCAGTATATTATATATTGGTGTTTAATTTAATTTAGTGATTCGTCTCAAATATCTGCTTAGTTCTTTTGTGTGTGTGAATGGGTGATATTGAGTCACAACTACAGTACTGTATCAAGTTATAAATGAAAAAGTTGTAGTAAAATTTTACCTGCTTTTTATTGTTTTAGTAATTTTTGTCCTCCAAATTTAGAAAAACTTTTCAATTGTACTAACACATCTTGACTATTTTACTACATACAAGATAAATTATATTTTGTATAATAAAAATGTATATATATTTTATATAAGGTACTGTCATGTCCTGTATTCACAAAAGACACCCAAAAATTAGATCTCAAATATTACAGTAAGAGCTGAGTTCCCCCTTGTTGCTGCAGAGTTTTCTTCAAGTTCAGCTCTTTCTCTGTGTATTGGTTGGTCACCCAGGAAAGATTTCTGTAAAGGAGATTCTGTCTTTTACACGAGTTTTCTTCCACAATGTCATTGGTAGTGATCATGTTTGAGCTGACGGGAGGTGTACGTTACATTGTGCCTCTCGTGGCTGCAGTGATGGCCAGCAAGTGGATTGGGGACGCATTTGGTCGTGAGGGTATTTATGATGCCCACATTATCCTCAACGGCTATCCATTCTTAGACTCCAAGGAAGAGTTCAGTCACACCACTCTTGCACATGATGTGATGAAGCCAGGGTGAGTCTTTACTGAATTTGCACTCCTCCTCTTTTCTCCTTACAGTAAACCCTTCCAATACCAGACTAATGAATGCAAACCTGTCCCTTATATAGAGGGTTTACCGTACTGTACTGTACTTGTTGCCTTACAGTTGTGGTGGAACATTTTTCATTTATCACTGATGAGCTTAAGTACATTATGAACTCTTTTTTTTTTTTAAGAAAATTATTGTCAAAGAACTATTTTCTAATCACTAACCAATGATTCTTACCCTGGTTATCATCGACAAGAAACATGAGTCTTTCTTCGTGATAACCCAAGACAGTATGGCCCTGGACGATGTGGAGCAGCTTCTTCGAGAGATGGACCACAATGGGTTCCCCGTGGTGGTGAGCCGGCAGTCTCAGTACCTGGTTGGTTTTGTTGCCAGAAGGGATCTAAATATTGCCATCAGTAAGTCACCAGTGTCTGAGTGTCCATAAATTATCTGAACCATTTTAAAACTTAATAACACCAAAAACATTATTGAGAGAACACTCCAGTTTTATAACACTTGACAAACAACTCTTTTTCTTATTTTGGTAAACTTGTACACATGTATTCTTTGTTGCTTGAGCTTGTTTAAGGTTATTAAGTTATCATGTTATTCGGGTGACATGGTCAGTGGCGGTGGTGGTGCTGAAGCCTGCTCTGTTGCAAGAGTCAGAAATAGCTGGAGGTAGCTAGGGAGCTGCTGCCTTTATTGACAGCAAGAGTAACCTTTCCTCCACATGAAAGGCAGAATGTATGTAGCTTATTGGAGAAGTGTGATGTTGTATGGCAGTTAAAGACCCTCTTTTACTGCTTTGAGTGAGCTGAAATGAAAATGGTGAGGTGGATGTGCAATGTGACAGTTCAGAGAGAGGATGGCTGCGTGTTGAGATGTATTATGTTTTAAAGGTTAAATTAAATTATAATAATTTCTTTCATTTCTTGTGAGGTTAAATAGATTGATAGTGTAGTTTCTTTTGTTCCTTTTGTGATTAGTAGAGTTGTAGTACTGTAGTTTCTTTTATTGTGGCATTTTGTACAACTAAATTAATATCCACAGATCAAGCTAAAAAAAGCACAGAAGGAATTGTGGGTGAGTCGGTTGTGTTGTTCACGGCGTCGGTGCCATCACCGTGGATGGGTCCTCCACCTCTTTGCCTTCTCAAGATCCTGGATCTCGCACCCATCACCATCACTGACCAAACGCCAATGGAGACAGTGGTCGACATGTTCAGAAAGCTGGGGTTGCGGCAAACACTCGTCACACACACAATGGGTAAGGTCTTGCTTTTATACGTTCCGTTGGTTATAATCTTTAGGTATCAGTCGGCACATTGAAGATATCCATGCATGGTTTTTTCTTCATATTCTATGTGGGTTAGTACAATTTGGGTACAAGACCTCACGAATGAAAGCTGGCCTTGTGCCCCGGTGCACCTCTTGCAACCATTAGCCCTCAGTCAGAAGCTATTGTCAGTAGAAGTTAGGTGTAAGGACTGTGTATGTGACAGCTGAACTGAAGATTATTGTGTCTGGTGTTGCAGACGGCTGCTGGGGATCATCACCAAGAAGGATGTTCTGCGTCACATCAAGTTCCTGGAGAGTGAGGACCCAGAGTCGGTCCTCTTCAATTGATTGCCTCATGTCGCTTGGGCTCAATCATCAACATTGTTTTAATTTATTACATGTCTCAAGGAGGTATTGTTCAAACTGTACCACCATGGTGTGTGTGTACATTGCCCTGAGGGTTGACAGATTTCCACCATTAAATTGCTGTGTTTATTTAGTCACTCGCCTGCCAGTGTTCAGGACAATTCTGACACATTGGGGGATCTCCTATGGTGGGGGAAATCAGTCGATGGGCTGGTGTATATGCTAAATAGTTTAAAGAAAACAGTCCTTTATCAGTATATTTTTATAGTTTTGTGTTCCAGATATTGTACAGACCTCCTCCTATTGTGATAATATATCACACCTGTATCTACCAAATGTATAGCACAGTGTTGAGGAGGGTTAAATTATATTTCAAGTATCTGTATATCGTGCTGATTATGCTACCTATTTCTTTGGCTAGAGTACATTGCTTTGCACTAAGTAAGCTGTTATAAGCTTTATTGAGCAAGTCAACGTGGAAGTTGGTGCACTCGGGTGACTCATTGCTCCTCTACAGTCACCAGGTAACTCAGTGGTCCTATGCAGTCACCTGGTGCTTGTGTATTATTCTGCATGTACTTAAATAGTTAGGCACATTAAATTTTAGTTCAGAGAGAAAAAGTATTTTTGGCCAAAAATCCTTTAAGGCATAAGACTTACAATTTTTGGAATTTCGTCCAAAATTAGATTTTGCTCAAAATCGCAGTATAGGTACTCCTGAACATGCTGCTTAAGGATCTGTTAACCAAAATTTGATATCTTGATTATAACTTGTTCAAATGGCTTTTAGAAAATGTTCAAATGATTTTTAGAATATTTTAATTACTTTTGCAATGCTAATTACTCGCCACTTATGGGTTTTCGAGGTCATTTCTTGGTGCTTGTGTATTATTCTGGATGTACTTAAATAGTTAGGCACATTAAATTTTAGTTCAGAGAGAAAAAGTATTTTTGGCCAAAAATCCTTTAAGGCATAAGACTTACAATTTTTGTCATTTTCGGCTAAAAAATGGATTTTTTTCAAAATTTCAGTATTGGTACCCCTGAATGTGCTGCTTAAGGATCTGTTAACCAAAATTTGATATCTTGATTATAACTTGTTCAAATGGCTTTTAGAAAATGTTCAAATGATTTTTAGAATATTTTAATTACTTTTGCAATGCTAATTGCTCGCCATTTTGGGTTTTCAAGGTCAATTCTTGGTGCTTGTGTATTATTCTGGGTGTATTTAAGAAGGTAGGCACATTAAATTTTAGTTCGGAGAGAAAAAGTATTTTTGGCCAAAAATTCTGTAAGGGGTAAGCCTTACAATTTTTGGAATTTCGTCCAAAATTAGATTTTGCTCAAAATCGCAGTATAGGTACTCCTGAACATGCTGCTTAAGGATCTGTTAACCAAAATTTGATATCTTGATTATAACTTGTTCAAATGGCTTTTAGAAAATGTTCAAATGATTTTTAGAATATTTTAATTACTTTTGCAATGCTAATTGCTCGCCATTTTGGGTTTTCAAGGTCAATTCTTGGTGCTTGTGTATTATTCTGGGTGTATTTAAGAAGGTAGGCACATTAAATTTTAGTTCTGAGAGAAAAAGTATTTTTGGCCAAAAATTCTGTAAGGGGTAAGCCTTACAATTTTTGGAATTTCGTCCAAAATTAGATTTTGCTCAAAATCGCAGTATAGGTACTCCTGAACATGCTGCTTAAGGATCTGTTAACCAAAATTTGATATCTTGATTATAACTTGTTCAAATGGCTTTTAGAAAATGTTCAAATGATTTTTAGAATATTTTAATTACTTTTGCAATGCTAATTACTCGCCACTTATGGGTTTTCGAGGTCATTTCTTGGTGCTTGTGTATTATTCTGGATGTACTTAAATAGTTAGGCACATTAAATTTTAGTTCAGAGAGAAAAAGTATTTTTGGCCAAAAATTCTGTAAGGGGTAAGCCTTACAATTTTTGGAATTTCGTCCAAAATTAGATTTTGCTCAAAATCGCAGTATAGGTACTCCTGAACATGCTGCTTAAGGATCTGTTAACCAAAATTTGATATCTTGATTATAACTTGTTCAAATGGCTTTTAGAAAATGTTCAAATGATTTTTAGAATATTTTAATTACTTTTGCAATGCTAATTACTCGCCACTTATGGGTTTTCGAGGTCATTTCTTGGTGCTTGTGTATTATTCTGGATGTACTTAAATAGTTAGGCACATTAAATTTTAGTTCAGAGAGAAAAAGTATTTTTGGCCAAAAATTCTGTAAGGGGTAAGCCTTACAATTTTTGGAATTTCGTCCAAAATTAGATTTTGCTCAAAATCGCAGTATAGGTACTCCTGAACATGCTGCTTAAGGATCTGTTAACCAAAATTTGATATCTTGATTATAACTTGTTCAAATGGCTTTTAGAAAATGTTCAAATGATTTTTAGAATATTTTAATTACTTTTGCAATGCTAATTACTCGCCACTTATGGGTTTTCGAGGTCATTTCTTGGTGCTTGTGTATTATTCTGGATGTACTTAAATAGTTAGGCACATTAAATTTTAGTTCAGAGAGAAAACGTATTTTTGGCCAAAAATCCTTTAAGGCTATAAGACACAATTTTTGTCATTTTCGGCCAAAAAATGGATTTTGTTCAAAATTTCAGTATAGGTACTCCTGAATGTGCTGCTTAAGGATCTGTTAACCAAATTTGATATCTTGATTATAACTTGTTCAAATGGCTTTTGTAGAAATGTTCAAATGATTTTTAGAATATTTTAATTACATTTGCAATGCTAATTGCTCGCCATTTTGGGTTTTCAAGGTCAATTCTTGGTGCTTGTGTATTATTCTGGGTGTATTTAAGAAGGTAGGCACATTAAATTTTAGTTCTGAGAGAAAAAGTATTTTTGGCCAAAAATTCTGTAAGGGGTAAGCCTTACAATTTTTGGAATTTCGTCCAAAATTCGATTTTGCTCAAAATCGCAGTATAGGTACTCCTGAACATGCTGCTTAAGGATCTGTTAACCAAAATTTGATATCTTGATTATAACTTGTTCAAATGGCTTTTAGAAAATGTTCAAATGATTTTTAGAATATTTTAATTACTTTTGCAATGCTAATTACTCGCCACTTATGGGTTTTCAAGGTCATTTCTTGGTGCTTGTGTATTATTCTGGATGTACTTAAATAGTTAGGCACATTAAATTTTAGTTCAGAGAAAAAAAGTATTTTTGGCCAAAAATTCTGTAAGGGGTAAGCCTTACAATTTTTGGCATTTCGTCCACAAGTGGATTTTGTTCAAAATTTCAGCATAGGTACTCCTGAATGTGCTGCTTAAGGATCTGTAAACCAAAATTTGATATCTTGATTATAACTTGTTCAAATGGCTTTTAGAAAATGACCAAATGATTTTTAGAATATTTTAATTACTTTTGCAATGCTAATTACTCGCCACTTATGGGTTTTGAAGGTCATTTCTTGGTGCTTGTGTATTATTCTGGATGTACTTAAATAGTTAGGCACATTAAATTTTAGTTCAGAGAAAAAAAGTATTTTTGGCCAAAAATTCTGTAAGGGGTAAGCCTTACAATTTTTGGAATTTCGTCCAAAATTAGATTTTGCTCAAAATCGCAGTATAGGTACTCCTGAACATGTTGCTTAAGAATCTGTTAACCAAAATTTGATATCTTGATTATAACTTGTTCAAATGGCTTTTAGAAAATGTTCAAATGGTTTTTAGAATATTTTAATTACTTTTGCAATGCTAATTACTCGCCACTTATGGGTTTTCGAGGTCATTTCTTGGTGCTTGTGTATTATTCTGGATGTACATAAATAGTTAGGCACATTAAATTTTAGTTCAGAGAGAAAAAGTATTTTTGGCCAAAAATTCTGTAAGGGGTAAGCCTTACAATTTTTGGAATTTCGTCCAAAATTTGATTTTGCTCAAAATCGCAGTATAGGTACTCCTGAACATGCTGCTTAAGGATCTGTTAACCAAAATTTGATATCTTGATTATAACTTGTTCAAATGGTTTTTAGAAAATGTTCAAATGATTTTTAGAATATTTTCATTACTTTTGCAATGCTAATTACTCGCCACTTATGGGTTGTCGAGGTCACTTCTTGGTGCTTGTGTATTATTCTGGATGTACTTAAATAGTTAGGCACATTAAATTTTAGTTCAGAGAGAAAAAGTATTTTTGGCCAAAAATTCTGTAAGGGGTAAGCCTTACAATTTTTGGAATTTCGTCCAAAATTAGATTTTGCTCAAAATCGCAGTATAGGTACTCCTGAACATGCTGCTTAAGGATCTGTTAACCAAAATTTGATATCTTGATTATAACTTGTTCAAATGGTTTTTAGAAAATGTTCAAATGATTTTTAGAATATTTTAATTACTTTTGCAATGCTAATTACTCGCCACTTATGGGTTTTCGAGGTCATTTCTTGGTGCTTGTGTATTATTCTGGATGTACTTAAATAGTTAGGCACATTAAATTTTAGTTCAG